TTATATTCAGGGAAGGTAATGCCTTCTTTACCCAAACCAAGATGGACTATCATGCGATAACTCTTGGGGGGATTTCCCATCAAGAACATGATGGGGACTTAAGGTTTGTATCTTGTTACTGCTACAGTTTTGATAGTATCCGTCAAATGATTCAGTGTTGTCTTTTCCTAACAACACTATGATGTACCTTTTTAGGTTTACTGTTTTTTTCCTGGATTTAAAATCAAGAATTGAATGAAAGTAACTGTTTCAAGCAATCAATTAAAAACTGTAGATTGATACACCGTTTGTTTGTGAGGGGCATCGTCCATCAGCTTTCTCTATAAATACACATATCATGAACACTTGCATGATCCAGTGCTGTTAATAAATAAATTGACAATGCCTTAAAGCTAAGTGTGTCAAAGTGTTTCTGTTAGAACAGCTAGTAAAACAATCTTGATTAATCCGCTATGTAAAAAAACAACAATCTATCCAATATTTTCAATCCATTTATTTTGGGGCAGTACAGTCTTCAACTTTATAACTGATCGGCACACAGTTGTCGTATGGTGTGAGGGTTGAACACAGCACGTAGTATACTGTAACAAGTAACTGATCCAGAGTCAGCCTACTCAGACGTTATGTAACACATACAATATGATATGGCCTTTCAGAAGTCCTGTCAGCAGTATATGATCTTGCTTTACTGTGATGCGTCCATTGGGCATCAACCAATACACGTTTGTTACACTTAAGAGTGCATTATTTTAAGACTCCAAAAATAAAAACGGCATATTAAAATAGAAATTTGCATACATGGGTTGGAAGATGGAGTTCTTTACCATAGGAAAGAGATTTTGGCAAATAAATCTTGGTTAATATGAGTATGTGTTCCTTCTTACAAAGGAAAAGCTGTACAGCAATGGAGGTGGTGTTGCCGATGTAACAGAACAGAGAATACGTTACAGCGTGGAAGTTGCTTTATCTTCAGTCAAATGCTAGCATGGGTGGAGACATAAATCAGTGGAGTGCAAAAGAAAACGGGTAACACTCCCTCAGCCCGGACAGACATACAGGTCTACAGTGCAGGAACAGAGCTATGCTGAGGATCGTGCACAGCTAGAAATACTGTCAACTTCACTAGCAACACACAACTACTGGCATTTCCAGTAAATGCTTTCCAAATGCTTATATCTTTCTTATAATTAAACCCTGATATGTGATGGTGTGCTTCATTTCTCTCATCAGCTGCCTTGTGTGGTCCTGGTTATTTCCTCTGTGTGCTGAGAACTCCACAGTTCTGCATCAGATTGACTATTTAAACTTTTGACTTCTGGAGGTCTACTTTATACGTAGCAGTCCTGAGCAAAGCCCTGCACACTGACCCAACACAACTGTTTTACAACACACACCCAGAAGTAACCGCTTTCTCCCAACCATGATTATTTCCATAACTTTCTTACAGCAGACGGATATCTGTGCTTAACGGTCTGCAAATCTTCAGTTATACTTTTTTATTTTTTTTATAATTCCTTGCCCCATACTGATAAAGCTTTGCTTTGGTTAGTCCTTTGCACATGTATAGGCGGGTTGTTGTGGGCCCAGTGGATTGAGCGTCTCCCTGGTAAGTCCCTGACCTTCCACTAGGCATTCTGCATCTCCTTGCCAATTTTGTAACTTAGGATCTTATTCCAGTCGATCTTAGTGCGTGTGACCGGCAGCTGGCGACGCAGGGCCTTGAAGGTGGTGTCAGACATGGTCTGGTAGTTCTCACTGATGGCAGTCTGAGAGAAAAGGTGGGAGTCAACAAATATTAAGTATAACATCTTCACATTTTCATTTAAAAAAAATGTTGTTTCTTTTAAGGTTTGGATAAAAATAAGACCTAGCATTTTAAAAAGTTTATAAAATGAAGGGTTGCTTACCTGGTAGTCATTCTCTGCATTCTCAATAATGTCAACAAATTCCTTGGCTGTCTGGCTTTCATTCTGTTTCAAAAACACATATATAGATCATTACTTTCCAATATTTATAGGCTTAAACTTTGTAAGCAACACAAGGTTAACACCACTGCTGAGAGACTGCATGAGTGCCCATGTATGAAAGGTTTCACTTACAGTCACTGGTATTGATTCCTCTACCTCCTTATGGCTAACCAACTGCACATTCCCATCTTCATAGTAGTGCACCTGCAGACAGACAAGACTTTCGTTAGTAAACGAGTTTAAAAACTAATGTCCCTCTTTGACTTTTTTTCCATTTCTGAAGTATAGCTCACTAAATTTAATTCACCTGGATTTTCAGCACTCCCACCACCTGAGCAGTTGACTGACCGAGGGTTAGCTTCCACTCTGACCTACAGCGACCATTCCTGTGTTAAAGAGAAGAGAAGCCCATCATTACAAACAGACAGCGGACCTATATTCAGATATTATTTCAAACAAAGGTTTGCAGGAAAGTCACTATACCAGAAGTTTTTGGGTTGAAACTGATGTCCTTCAATGCAGGCTATGATAGTTTGCTGACCATCAACGGTTTTCCCATATACCTGCACAGATGGTATCAAGTATGAGTATTTAAAATGTCAGGCACAGATGAATATTTTGTCACAATTTGTGTGCGCCTTACTGTGCACACTCCAGTAGGGTAGTGCTCCTTGACGTAGGCACTAAGGGAAGTATCACAGGCATCTCTCCAGCTTCTCAGGGCCGTCTCTCCTTCGTAGGGCTGGACATCGCTCACCTCTTTTCTTAAGTGGTCGAAGCGAAAAGCCAAACAGTTGCGAGGGTCCAGGAAACGTCCCTGACCCAAGTCCCCATGCTCTGTGATCAAGACCTATTAAAAAGGGAAGGGAAAGATTTAAAAAAGACTGGCTTTCACACGTGCTCTTCTGGAATGAATAGGAAAGACTTAAGGATTAAACATACCGGCTCTTCATAGCCCTCTAGCTTGGCAGGAGTAAACTGATCCATGTTGTACTGGGCAAAGGAGCTGGACAAATGGAAAGAAGCAAAAGTTCAGTAGGCGTTCATAATATCCCCCCATATTTTTCAAATAAATGCTTTCCACTGACTATTTTGAAAACACTGGCCATGTTTATAATCAAGAGTGCCTAATATATATATATCAAAACACAATATGATGTAACGGTGGATCGAGTGTTTTGAATGTTGTACATTTTGAGTATTGGAATTTCTGGCATTTTTCTTAAAAATATGTTACTTACTGTGATGCCCCCTCCCTGAGGAGGTTGTCATTGTTGAGAAGAAGTCGCACATCTAGCAAGACACAAATAAACCACTGTTTATGCATTACTTTCATAAGAAAACACAACCAATACCATTATCAAGCAAATGATCATATAATATATTCTACGAAATACAATATTATTATTGTTATGCAAATGTTGTCACAATTAGTCACATCTTACCATTGAAGACCTCATTGAACTCTCCCGGAGGGGCATGAGTCACAAAGTTGGCTGCTATGCGTACCTGTGAAAGCAGAATAAATGCTACCAATTAATTGATTCATCATGATAATGTGACCTGCTATTAAATCAGTTCAGAACTACACTACATGCTGTTATGCTTAAACTATAAATGAGTATAGCATCTCGATTAGAACAAAACAACTCAATCAATAATAATATCAAGTGAGTTTTATTTACCAACATGAGCTTTTGTGTATGTTTTGTGAATGAAGGATTAAACATCGAGACAATGCTTTGTGAGAGGACACTGCAATATAAACGCGTGTCCAGAGACTGTCATGTCAATATAAAATCCTGCCATCATCTTGCCCTAAATGTTCTTGTTGACCATCAATACATGTTTAATTTGAAATATTTCTCTATAACCAACATGATGTCGCAACTCTGTTGATGTTAATGGTACATTGATAATTAGTAATATTAATTACATGAGGGTACAATGAACGACTGTCTGTTATTAATTTGAGCTTTGCGTCCATCTGGTAATGTGTCCAGCTGCCACTGGCAGGGTGTCACTATTAGGCTCCATATAAACGGTGAGCACCGGTATACTGAACTGCAGCCTGGAGAGGCTAACAAGTATTTGAGCTGCAACTGAATCTGTTTGACCCAGAAATCCTGAACAAGTAACGTTAGCCGCTAATGCTAGCTAACAGTACATGAGAGGAATACGTAGCCCATACTGTAATTATTGCAGACACTGGCAATGCAACGCGACTTTTGAAAACTGGCGTCGATACTTTTGTTAACAATTATAAAGATAACATTTCAACAACTATAAACTGTTCTGTATCTAGTGATTAAAGCCTTCTACCAGCCTTTGATTTCACCGCTAGCCAACTATAAGCTTTCACTAGCATCGGCTCGTTAGCTTGTGGTGACTAGAAACACTACTTTATCATTTCAATACATGACTAAATCTGGCATTGTCTTTCAAAAAACTCAACCGTGACCTCATGTGAACATTTAAGACAGGTTAATATCAACAAATAATAAAACACAACGTTAAGCAAAGAATAAAACAGTCTTCAAACCTTCTCTTCTTCTGACAGCGGCTCCTCAAAGTCAGCCATCTTGGCTCTTTGTGACCCCACCTACTCCAGCTGACTGACAGGAGCAGTGCGCTGGTTGTCATTCACACACAATATTGAATGAATACTTACAACAAAAATACAAACTAAATATATATTACTGTGCTTCGAAAGCTAATGTAACAAATCAATAACTTTGGATAAGCACCATGAAAATACTCTTGAGATGATGACGCGAGAGGGCGCTAAAAGCTGTAATTTGTAATTTGTCAACTTTTCCAGTTGGTTGTTGCAAAGCTCATTCGTCTATAAAATAGAAGCATCGACACACGTTACTGCTATGAATAAAGGCAAAGGGAAGAAAGGGTCATTAGGGCCAACCGTGTGTAAACTATTCAAATAACACATCCTGAGGGTGAGTTTTTATTTCAGTTTTTTTTTACCAGCAAATTTCAGCAGAGGGCAGTAAGGAGGCCGCAGAGGGGAAACAGAGTCAGAGTTAGAGGTAGAAAAAGAGTAGAGTGAAAGTACCGCTTTGTACTCCAGGAGACTGATAACGTTAACACACCGTCTTTGTCATGAACTCACAGGTATGATTACGCTAAATTAAATACCTAATCCTTGATTCTAAACTCCAATTTTACCCTAGAAGTACACCTCCTATACGTTTCTAACGGTGTTAATTTAGCCGTTATTGGTGTCAATAACTACATTCACTGTAGCCAGTTTTAAAGTTAAGCTAGCACACTGCAGTAAGTATCGTGCCCTATGCAATCCTCCAAACACGGCTAAAAACAAGTAGCTTATTTACTATGCTGTTTTAATCATTATTCGACAATCGCTTAGTTGGTTTGCGTTAATGATTATGCTTATGTTTATAAAGTTACCTCGGTTTTTGGTGGTAAACTTTTAAGTATAACACAACAAACGTATTATGACTACAGCTTGTTATTATTAGCAGCTGTCCGCTATTTAGCTCGGAAATGAATAGGGCGGTGTTCGTTGTTGGACAGTTTGTATTGAGGCGTAGAGCGAGTTATTCTGCTGCTTGTCGTCAGGTGGTGACCAACCCAGAGGATATTGCCAGGCTCTACAGAGAGCTCAGCCTCTTCCCTTCTTTGAGCAGAGCAGACGTAGGACATGTGGTTACCTCTCAGTATGGAGGCAAATACAGCAACATCTACACAGGTCTGTGCCATCCACTGTAAAATTGTCATGAAAGATATTGTATATATTGATTTTGAAATAATGTTGTTCGATTTCCTCTGTAGAATGGAGCCAACGTGACCTGGACAGGAATGAAAATGTCAAATTTTGCAGACAGTACATCGTATTTCATGATGACAAGTCGGTGGTGTACTCTGGAGCCTCAGGAAACTGCACTGAGATCAAAGGAGAGTAAGTACCCTTTTTGTTGTTTTATCTTTAGTTCCCTAAACCAACTGTATGCAAACTAAACAATGTCTGTTGATATCTTTGTCCTGTCAGGCTGCAGAGCAAGGATTCACCCTCAGGTGACATGAAGGCTGTGGTCAGAGAGTGCACAATCAAAGGAGAGGACAAACAGTTTCTGGAGGTGTGTGTCTGGCTCAGATTCAGCATTAAGTCCCTCAAAGGCCTTACCAAAACATTTATGCATTGCTCTAATTATAATGTTAATCTGTAACTCTGTTCTGCCACATCTACTGTTTTGAAACCCACACTCTTTGACATCTCTTCTCTTCTGCTTCTTTGTGACCTTTTAGATCTGGAGTAAAAACATAAAGATGAAAAGCATAAATCTAACAGCCTTAAAAAAACATGGCAAAGTCTATGAAGATGGTGAGTAATCTGCACATTTGTTTGTTAAATGAGTTCATTTAAGCTTTGCCTTTTACATATTCCAGACCCTGTGTTAATAACATTGTGTTTTGCATCCTTAGACCAGTTTGGCTGCTTGGTGTGGTCCCACTCTGAGACACATCTCTTGTATGTGGCAGAAAGGAAGAGACCTAAGGCAAAATCCTTCTTCCAGGTTTGTTAGAAAAATTGTATTTGTATATAAATTGGCACCAAATAACATAAGACAGAGAACTGCTAAACTGCTCGCCCTTGGTTGAACATTTCAAGAATGTTGATTCTCCCTGATGTCATTGTTGGGATTGTGTTCAATATTGAGCATAGCAAACAGTTTGTAAGTCGAGTCAATTTAACTATAGCACAACATCTAAACATGTCCTCAAGGGGCTTTACAATCACAGCCTACAACAGCCTCACTCTGTACACCCTGATCCACGGGCATGACATTGTTAAAGAACCCTTTAAATGCATGTAATATGATGCAAAACATACACAAGTGGTGAACTAATGGCTAACCGCAAACTGGATCAAATTATAAGTCAGACGCTCAACGGTAAAAGCATTCCATAGTCTGGCCTTTTGCAAATAGTTTCATTTTGAATGCCATCCAGGTATTTTCCGTTGACTGTAAGCAGACTATCGGATCAGGTTTCATGTCCTTTGTTTAATTTAGTCTGGATAGACAAGTTACAACAGGTATATAGAATCGGTCTAATAAAGACTAGTAAAAACATGTTGCTGTTTGTTTTGTTTTCTGTTTGTAGAGTGAGTCACCAGAGTTGTCTTCTATTGGGGACGAGGAGGAGACAGTGAGAAGCGAGGAAAAGGAGACTGTGAAAGTAAACGCAATTAATACTTAAATACAAATACGCAAAACACATAAACTAGACAAATGTTTAATTCAAAAATCTTGCATTCCATTCTAGCTTAAGAAGTAGTGTTAAAGTGTGGACTTTTTATTCCTGCAGGGAGAGCAGTTTGTCTTCCATGAGGACTGGGGAGAGGGGCTGGTTGGTAAAAGCTGTCCAGTGCTTTGTGTTTTGGACATCGAGGGTGACAACGTCTCTGTGTTAGAGGGCGTACCTGACAATATCTCACCTGGACAGGTCGGTACAACAGTTTGTGTGCAGTGCTTCATATGTTTCTTGTGCACTTTTGGTGTGCTCATTAATCCTGCTGTTTCTCTCTCTTTTCCTCTCAATTACTTTTTCTCTGCTTCTACAGGCATTTTGGGCTCCAGGTGACACAGGCGTGGTGTTTGTTGGTTGGTTGCATGAGCCTTTCAGATGTGGCCTCACGTTCTGCCCCAACAGGAGGTGATCGCTGTTCACACTGATAAAATAGACACATTAAAGTTGGCTTATCATACATGACCCCAAAAATGCTCATGAGCTAATACTACAAATTATTCATGTCCCCCTTTTCTCTATCAGTTCGTCTTTGTACTATGTGGATCTTACTGGTGGGAAATGTGGTAAGTGAATGCTTATTATGCTTATAACAAGTGTAGCTCAATTGTGTTACTACTCCAGATGTTCATATGCATTGTTTTTGTTGTGACCCTCAGAGCAGCTAACATCAGGCACCAGTGCAGTGAGCTCCCCCAGGCTGAGCCCAGACCAGTGTCGGATTGTCTACCTGGAATGTGCTGTCTTTGGCCCGCACATGCAGTGCAGCAGGCTCTGCATGGTAAGACAGGATGGAGCCTCTTTTCCTGTGGACACATTTACTTCCTTTCATTGCTAAGTGCATAGAGTGGTGCAGCGATGACGTATTTTTGTAGCCTGACCCAGAAATATACTGCGCATGGTTTCCCTCGACAAAAAAGCAATGGGATTCTCCATAGGATTTTGGAAAATAGCTCGAAATAAGATCTGTGGAAAACGAACATGTTTGATAAATGCACGTTTTGTTCAGCCGGATAATCTCCTCATGTCTACCCTAGTTTTATAATTTTCTAATCATAAATCTAATCGCCAGAAGCAAAAGGCCAACGTTGTGCTATAATCCGAGTACAGCAGGGTCGCACAACTTCAACGTCACGCCAACTTAAGATGGATATTCAAAAATACAGATTCAAAATTGTACAAGTTGAAGCGTTTGTTTTAACAGTTTGCAAGAAGCAGGTACTTGCTTTCAAGCAGAACAGGGGCAAACAAACTTAGCGGGAGTGTTTACGTGTTCGGCGTAATGACGTACAACGTCCTCGACAACTTCTGTAGTCCTATTAGGCCACATGTTAACAACCATCGTTTTTCAGACACGTAAACTCTTCAAAAATCACCAATGGGGTCACTGCAGATGTATTTAATGTCGTAGAACAAAACGTGATCCGTCTCTTAAATTCGTGTCAACCACAGACCTTATTTCGAGCTATTTTCCAAAATCCTATGGAGAAATCCAGTTGACTCTGAGACAAGGGAACCGGTAGTGGTAAAATCAGGGTTCTTATGGTCATTAAAAACCTGGAAAAGTCATGGAAATTCAAAATGCTTATTCCAGGCGCTGGAAAAGTTATGGAAAACAGTATGTTTCCCAAAGTTTTGAAAAAGCCATGGAAATGTAACTAAAGTTGCATCAAATATAATTTATATTTTATCCAATCGCCAAAAAATTGTAATACTATAACGATAATAAATACTGTATGGTATAGTAATGAAACGTAAAATGGCATTTAACTGACGAGGTATTTTGCTGGTGAGAGATTTTTGTTGCTTTAGCGTGTAGAAGCTAGTAAGCCTACTATTTGATTTGTTTTAGATAGGCACCACATGTTTCATATGCAGACCTTATTTTCATGTTCCTTGTTAAAATAAACAATTTTCAGTGGTACGCTGAGAAAGAGTACATTTTTTTGGTCATTGATTTTCAATGACTTTTCCATGACCTTTACCTAATTGGTAAAGGTCATGGAAAAGTCATTGAAAATCATTGGTGAAAAAGTGTATGAACCCTGTAAAATGCTATCTCACTTCCGGGTTTTAGGACTCGTCACTGCACCACTCTATAGTGCTTCCCGATAAGGGGAAACATATGTATCTTACACAATGCACCATCTGCTCTTTTCTGCTGTGCACGGATACACAAGTGTTCAATAAGTGTTCAAGCAGAAGAACATTATTGAGTTTCAATAATCTTTCCTCTGTGCTTGTATATTTTATTTTAAGTTTGACTGGTACACTAAGAAGACCTCCGTGGTGGTGGATGTGGTGAATAGACCTGGAGAAGGTAAGACAAACTTGGTGGTCACATGATTGCACCTTTTGTATCATTAAATATGAAACATTGCTGTAACTGTGTGTGTTGGTGTGGCTTTACAGATGGCTTTACTGGCATCTACAGCTCTCGGTTGTCCCGTCAGTGCTGGTCAGCTGACAGTCAGCGTGTTATTGTTTCCTGCCCTCAGCGCAGCCGCAAGGTACAGTCAACTACTGGAAAGTGTTTTGCTGCCATGTCAAAACAATTAAACCTTAAGGCTTAATACTGTTTCTGATACATGTACATTGTACATACATGGAAGACATTATTATTTTCCTGAAAAATGAATATATTTCTTTTTTGTAGGATCTGTTGATGGTGGATACAAGCACAGGGAGCGTCACCTCTCTGACTTCAAGTGAGTGACAAGAAAAATGTTGTCACCCTTGGCGTTGCTCATGCTCAGGTGTACACATGATGTTTGGTGTTGACAATTGATTGGTTGAATGATTGACCCTTTTTTGCCTGTAGAGTTTGACGTTGGTAGCTGGTGTCTGCTGAACATAGAGAGAGATCTGATGGTGGTCAGCTGCTCCTCTCCAAACTGCCCTCCACGTCTGGTAAGATCAGTGGTCTCTATTTAAATGTTCACATTTTGATACATATTATATCATAAATATACTATTACTTCAGTTGGTTGGTTGGTCTGTGTCACCTATTGCTTTGTCATTTCTATCCCCAGAGGGTAGGTTTCCTCCCACCCAGAGATTCTCAGGAGGAAGTGGTCTGGGTTACTTTGGAAGACTCTCAGATGTTACCAGAAATTGATTGGCAGATCTTGACTTTCACCCCTCCACCAGAGCAAGACAACAGTCAATACCGTAAGAATGACAGGGAACATTTTCAAGTAATATCTAGATATGCATTCTAACAGACTTTTTGTCTCTGTGTTTCTAAAGGGAAGTCATTTTGATTTATTATCGCAAACATGAAAGATACAGAATACTGTATATAACATCCCCAGGTTAATGGACGGTTGAAAATGTTAAGCTGTCTATATGACACATGAAGAACAGCGTATAAAACCCTAATGGGACTAACTAACTGTTCTCTTTTCCAGCCGGCCTTGATTTTGAAGCTTTGCTGATCAAACCAAAGGAAGTGAAAGATGGAGTGAAGCTGCCTCTCATCGTGACTCCTCATGGTTCGTTACTGTCATTAATGTTCTGTATTCATTATTTGTATGTTTTTGTTGCAAACAATATGAACACTTAGGGAGAGCTGCATGATGTAAAAGCTAAATTAATATAAAGTGTTTATATTGATA